CTTCAATATAGAATTTAAATATAATAGACTGAAAATCACAACATATTTTAAAATCATGTTTGATTGATATATGATAATGAAAAAAAGAAAACAGAGAAAAATTAGTTATCACAGATCTATACCTCTATTTAGTTGCCTAAATATTTAGGCATTTCATATAACTGACAATAGTGGAGTCTAGGAAATAATTTATATGAAGAGAAATAACAACCTAAAAAAGTTAGAATTGGAAAATTCATCTCTTCAGTATTCAGGTTTCCTTAAGCTATTAAAGACTGCACATCATTATCAAAAGTTGGTGAGTTATCTTACATGGGGTGGTTTTGTGGTCTCAGTCATTTTCTTACTTGCCAAAGTCTGCACTGATAAGTTATTATTTCGAAGGCCAATCTGGTTGGCAGCTCCAAACAGAGAAGCCTCAAACTGGAGACTTTCACTAGCTCTCATTTGATCTGATCCGCACTGGACCGCAAGATGTGATACTGTGCATTTCGTTTTATTTTGTTTTTTATTATTTTGCCTGGATATACTTGTCGAGTAGATAAATAAAAAGTTCTAGTTTTCAGCATGCTCAAATCGAAGACTTCAGAACCAAAATATGATTTTTAAAGTTAAAAGAATTTGGGAAGAAAAGGCCATACTAAATAAAAATCAGCAAATAAGAGATCTGATGCCATATATGCAGTGACTACTGGAGATAAGGTATTGCAAAGAATTTATAATGTCTTTGCTCTGTGAAAATATACATGTTACTACCCTACTCTTCAAAGACACATTCCATTTTAGCTATGAGGAGATTTCCAGTATAAGACAAATTCCATTTTATATTATTACTTGAATACTTGAGATATTCATGAAGACTTTTCATGAGACTCAAAAGATCATGCCTGGGGCTTCCCTGGTGGCGCAGTGTTTAAGAATCTGCCTGCCAATGCAGGGAACACGGGTTCAAGCCCTGGTCCAGGAAGATCCCACATGCCGTGGAGCAACTAAGCCCGTGCGCCACAACTACTGAGACTGCTCTCTAGAGCCTGCGAGCCACAACTACTGAGCCTGCATGACACAACTACTGAAGCCCGCGCACCCAGAGCCCATACTCTGCAACAAGAGAAGCCACCGCAATGAGAAGCCCGCGCACCACAACAAAGAATAGTCCCTGCTCGCTGCAACTAGAGGAAGCCCGCGCAAAGTAGCAAAGACCCAATGCAGCCAAAGATAAAAAAATAAATATTAAAAAAAAAAGATCACGTCTGCTATAATATACATATGTAATTTAACACATGACTATCTTTAAAACCAATAACAATTTTATTTGTACAGTATTTTATTATAATTTACCACGTGTAGATTGCCAAGATTGTTTTTATTAACTCTAAAATATTAACATAAATTTTGTCCTTCATGTATATTCACCTATTCATATATGTGTACACATATATGTACGAATATATAAATATATGCTTGTGCTTTGGCAGACTAATGAAAATCCCAGAAAAGTCAACAAGTTTAATTAGTAAATCATTATTCATACAAATTAAATTTTGAAGTGGTCATAATATATTGAATAATGGCAAATAAAAAAGGTTTTGCAAGTTTTAATTCATAATTTTTAATTAAACATTATCATCTCTCAAAAAGATAGGTCTGAGAATTTTGATTTAACTAATAATCTCATTCTTACAATAATTAAACAATTTGACTCTGGAAAAAAAACAAAACAAAAAAACCTTTACAAAGTATGAAAAGAAAGCCTCTGAAATGTCTACCATTTATTTAAGGGTTATTTACTAAGTCCTCCCTATGAAGGTAAAGTTAAAGGCACTGATATAATCTTTGGATTCACATGATCACCGTCACATTCAGACTTGCATGTGTCTTTGATTTCTACTAAAACTGAAGCACACAATGTCCTGGAAAAGCTCATTACACTGAGTGATGGAATGTTTGTCATGTGTTTAAAACCCCAGACCTAATTTATTTCCTTGTGATTTCCATACGTTTTTCTGAAGTCTTCATTGTACCACACATTCCAAAAGGAAGATTTTATGATAATCTGGTATTTCATGAGAAAAGTGAAATTTGACTAGTTTCGTAGGGCAAATAAACAGTTATTCATCAATTTTAAAAAGAAGCATTATAACATCTAGCTATATTACATGAATTTAAGGAAGGGAAAAGTATCTCTGAGTGAATGTTTCTTGAGGATAATTTGTATGTGACTGCTGAGATTTACAGAGTTCTCACATTTGCTTCCCCCGCAAGGATTCTAAATCAGATTGGTTCAGAGGAAAAGCCAGCCTACCCCATTTTTCTAATATTATCACTTCTCCAGATGGTCCTGAAAACATCTATTTAATTCCTGTTCCTAGAAAGTAAAGAGGTACCTTATTAGATATATATGTATGTCCACTACAAAGGCTGCCTTCTTGTTCTTACTTCTCTTTCTTTCTCATTTAACATATCAAATCTCTTTTATCTCCTACCAGGCAAAATGACAAGTAGAAAGTAAGCACAGTGATTGCCTGAAACTTCGTCTTGGCAACCTGAGAAATGAGAGGGTTAATGGTGGATCTTTGAAAACAAGTGACCATGGGAAATTAGGGTTGGCAGGGATTTAACTCTTCATGAATCATGCTGGAATATTTTTAAGGGCAAAGCAGTGGATGTTTTAACTGTGTTTGACATCTAATTAAGAAGGAAAAAGAAGTAGCTAAAAAAAAAAAATCTCTATTACAGCTTAGAAACAAAGTACTGACAATTGGCTACCAGGCAGTTGCTTTGGAAAAACAAGTGTACACGTAGAGACAAAAAGGTAATGACAGACCAATAAAAGGGCAGAAGAAAAATTGCTTGGGCCATCCCTATTATTCTTTTTGGTGTTGTTCATTTCACAGCTTGTTTTACCAAATTGCCAAGCTCTAGGTATATCAATAGAATTGTTATGTAGCTGTAGGGCAGTTTTTGGTTTAAAGGAAAGCAGAATAATTCTAATGGATACCATTGCTAAAAAGAGCTCATAGAGACAGTTTCAAATATATACATCTTGTCAATATATACAACTCACTTCATTAGACAAGTTTAAAGTATTTGTATATAACAAAGGGCTATTCTAATTAAATGCTATCTTTTAATATGTAGAAAGAACTGGCGCCTCTTCTATTAATGGAGAGTAATCCATTGCCATGGAAATAAAATTCTTGCAAAATAAATACGAATAATTCTCAGTTCCTACTGATTTTGCAATTTATTTAGCACTTAGACAAGTATCTCTAAATATAGTAGGTTTTTAAAATGCATGTCATGTTTCAAACTTACTCCAAAATTATAGCATATAGCTATTCACATATTCAGGAAGTAAACTCGTACGTAAAACTTACTCAGGAATATAAACTTGAAGAAAGTGGACGATTAACCTAAGAATCATTGGATGAAATACTCTCAAAGAGTAAAAATAGAAAACAGAAACTGATGAAAACACAGATACCATAATATCATACACTAGGAAAATAATTTAAAGACAGTTACTATATAAAGACACAATTGGGATTTAATTAAATATTTAATGGGTGCCATATGATTATTTTTAAAAACCTTATATGAGTACAATTGCAATTCTGCTTGCTAATGGTTAAAATTCATTCTCATTTTAATAACCAAAAAATTATACCAAAAATATATATATTTTCCAATTCAGTGTATTTTATCTAAGTATTAAATACAAACAAACACATTTAGTAGGTGTTTAATTTTCTAATCCAAAGTGTGAAAAATTACATCTGTCTTTCCTATTTTGTGGTTCTCATTCACACTAGAGTACTCAGAAAGAGATGTTCCCCATCATGTGAAAATTAAAGAATATCTTTTCTGGCATAAGAGCAATGTATAGTAGACAGACATCTCTACAGATAGATGCAATAATTTTCTTTCACATCATAGGCTAAAAATGAAAAATAATTGAAGCTTCTTATTGCCCCACCCCCAACCGTAGAAATTTGAGAATCATAAGAAAGCAACACCCTAGGGAGTAAAACTACTTGACTTAAAACAGTGTAATCTTCAACTCCATTTTAATAATACCTCAGTTATATAAATATTCTCTTCCATTAAAAGTTATATATATCATGTTGGAATCCATATTAGCATGATATTATACATCTATCTATAAAATCTATCTAAACAAATATAGAACAAATATTTTCTTTAAAATTCTCATTAAAAAACAAGCATACACATTAAGATGTAACCAGACCGATCATGTGATAAGGCTTTTTTTTTCTTCTTAAATTTATACTTTTTTTGAAAAGAAGTTCACACAGCTAGCTGTACAACTAGAAAGTAGTATCTCTTCAGTTCTCACTGAAGTACATATAGAATCAAATAACATTACATTTCAAAGGCTTTAGCTTTGCACCAATTAGCCAAATACACAGTCTTTTGTACAATCATAACACACTGTGGAAAAACTAGTCTGTTCTCTCCAGTTTATATTCTCTTGGCAAACCATGATCTACTGCTTATGTTAAGCATCTGATTGTCAGATCTGAGCAAACTGAATATTCATGATGACAATTAACTATTTACTGTCTAAAACTAAGAAAATACAATGTATCATAATAATTATTATAGGTGAGGCACTCACATCTACAAAGAGACCATTGTTGCAATAGTGGTTTTTAAAAAGATTTTAATAGGAGAGTCAGAAGAATTATCAGGATATATGATCACATATATAGATCAGTATTTACCAGGCATTCAGCTTTTCTCTGCAAATGTGATTAAATGTTCTTTGTTTGCATTTAAATTGTCATATATCCAACAGAAGCCATGCTTTTATAAAAAAGTGTTTCAATCATCTCCGAAAGACACACACGATCACAAAGGTTTCCCAGGTTAAACTAAAGGTTTTACGGTTTAGGTTGGGAGGGAGTTCAAGGAATGAAAAGGCAGGGGGCAGGGGGGCATTAGAAAGCTAGTCGAATAAAAGGAAAAGAAAAACTTACCTTTGTAGGATAATTTCAGCCTTGGCACATTGTTCTTCCCATTTGGGTAGTTTGCTCTTGCTGTAAGTAATACTCCCCAGAAAAGACAGACAATCCTAGCGAACCAGCCCATGCTGCAGACACTGTGGGTCCTATGCTGCTTCAGTCTCGGGTCCTGTGTTGTGTGGCCACAGAAGTTCAAACAATCTGGAAACTGGAGGTAACAGGTGATTTAGGTCAGTTTCATTCATAAATGCAGACAATCAAGACCTCCAGGCAACACTAACACCTCTTCTTCTGTAACAGTCACTGAAGCCCAGAAACTTCAAACCCTCCAAAAAAAAAAAAAAAAAAAAGTCAGCCCAGGCACCGGAAAATGAGGCACAACTGTTGTGTGGAAAGAAAAAAAAAATCAACAAGGGCTGCAGCAGTGGTGCTTAAGAAGCAGTTCCTTTTATCTAGACTCTTCTGATAGCTGGCGGACTCTAATCCTGCTGCCTGCTTCATTCGGCTCCGGGGAAGCAGAATGAAAGGGGAACAGAGAGAGAGAGAGAGAGAGAGAGAGAGAGAGAGAAACCGTAAGCAGCGCGGACTTTTCCTGTACACATGTAGGGAGAGATGACACAAGATCCCACAGACAGGTTTTCCCAACACTCACTAGACTGGCTGACAATGGGAGAACAGGCGAGCTCAGCCCACTCCCCTTCCCTCCTGTCACACAACACATGCAAAAAACATCTCGTAGAGATTAGAGCCGGGAGCAGAACACTCCAACGTGCCTGTGAAAGGCATGTAGCTATAAATTTACTTCCCAAGGCAAGCGTTGTTTTATAGCCATTTTTAGGTGCAATTTTGATGAAAAAAAATCTGAATTCTGTTACCTACATAATTTCCAACTCATGCTCATTATATAATTCTGCTTGGACTTGTGCGTTGTATGTTATACGTATGTTTATGCCTATATACGTCTATGGATATGCATATATATGTCTGTCCTTTTCATCAATATAACTTTAACCACTGGAGGTTTTAAAACCTTGTTAGCAATCATTCCCTCCTCCCAAGAAACCCCCTTGGATCAACCACCCCCTTCCCCCGCCCCACTGCAATTTCAGTGAAGAAATTCCTAGTAAAGCCCATTTCAACAATCAGCTCAAGACAAATATAGGTCCACTGAGAATTATAAATTACAACAGGGGATTCTCAAAAGGACACTCAGAATTTTAAAACATGTATGGTTTTCCAGCTCCTGGAATGCTCTGGCTAACATTTTTAGTGCATCACATCTCATTAATTAAAGCCACTTCCCTAGTTTTGGTTTAAAGGGCAGAGGAAGATGACAAAGTTCACAAAAGTCCCTGCTGGGTGTCAAGGACCAACATAAAGAGAATATCTCTGTGTCTTCATGAGCTGGTGAAGGGTTACTAAATTTTCTGTGGACATATATGCATGTATTCAGGCAGTCATACAAACACCATTAATTCTTTTCTAAACAGGCATGTTGCCTGAGGTGTTTAAATTTCCTTTCGTATTTTCTTTCAATTTTTCTCAAAACTGATATCCTTATGGTTTTGTTTTGTTTTGTTTTGTTTTGAGGAAGGGCGTATGAAGATCAACAGGACAAAACTTTCCCTTCTTTATTCCCCAACTCTCTCTACCCTGCACCCTCCCCCCAACCCCACATACAGCACACGTTAGAAATTTGGAGGAGAGAGCTCTATTTCAGTAATACGGAAATTTCTTGGCTGAAAGGAGAGGGTGAGTCTTACAATTAAAAACATAAACACTTACTGAAAGTGGTTTAGTATTCTTATAAAAAATGACCTAAGCATTGTCACTACAGCTTTCATTACTTAATGTCTATAGACCAATAGAGAAAGAGAAACTCCCTCTGTCCCTCTCTCCCTCCCTCTCTCCCTCTGTGTATGTGTGTGTGTGTGTTCGTGTGTGTGCGTGTGTTTGTGTGAGTGTAGGTGGACGAGGAGGAAGAGAATGAAGAGGATTTAAAGGGGGGAGAATGGGGGAGGGGGAGCAGGGATTCTCTTTCTACTTCACTAGATTGATTCATCAAACAGACCCTATTGTATTTGTCAGTTTCCGCCAGCCTATTGATCAGTCAGTATTGTTAAGAAAATAAAATCCAAAAATAATGTTGATTTTACTGATTCTCACACTTGTTATCCTGAGCACTTTTCACGCTCTAGGCAATGGATTAAGGCTGCAAATGACAAGAGACTTGTCTGTCTTCCATGGATTACTCTCTATAGACATTCATTCTGCAGAGGAATTCATGTCACTTTGGGATTATTTAGAAGACTGGACTAACGAATTATCCTATTGAAATACCACATATGATTAAATACTTTAAATACTTGTACCATTTTCATTAATATATATTGTAAATATTTATTTTTCTCCAGCTCTTGTTACCTAGACTAGCAGAGCAAGTTTATATTTGTCAAAACTAAACAGGATAAGCAAATTTAGAAATGTATCCATTTCACTTGCGTAATGTCTAATCCTGAAACATTTTGATGTTGTCCAGGAAAAATAAAAGGTTGTAGGTAAAATTCAGATAAAAGAGGGTCAGAATTGACTCCATGGAGAAGAAAGACATTCAATCTGGAGTCTGAACCACAAAATCATGACAGAATTACTTTATTTTGTAAAATAAATAACTTAATGTTGAAGCCTGGAATTTGGTAGCACTGACACCCCATGTTTATATACACACAAATTTTTTTAAAACTTTAATGTACTTATTTACATTTAACATTTTTCTTACCCTCTAAAATTTTTATGATCTTTGGGTCTTTTCAAACAATTGAAAGTTTAATGAATTCACATTTATATTTACTTATCTGTAATTTTTTTAATTAAAAAATGTGAGAATAGGAAATTTTTTATGTAAGCATAACTGTTCTAGACTGATTAAATTATAAAATAGTAGAAAAGTGTGACCACAGATAGAATTTTTTTAATTGTGGAAGTAAAGAAAGAGAGAGAGGGAGGGAGGGAGGGAGGGAGGGGGGGAAGAGAGGAAGGAAGGAAGGGGGAAGGAAGGAAGGAACTACTTCCTGAAAAATACTTACCAAAGTATTTGTAATATTATATTTCTACTGCTTTCTCAATTGACTTTGGTCAGGGTTAAATAAAGTTACTTTCAATGTTTTTCTTATAACACCCAAACATGTGAGGGATAACCGAGGTTAAACCTATTTCTGAATTGAGGTAGATGCAAAGTTGAGGTGGACTTGGGTGGATGTCATCAGAATCTATCAAAATCTGCATGTGTGAAATGTGAATTTTGATTCACCTCCCAAGGAACATTGCTCCCTACTCTGAATCTGTGACCTCAGCCCTGACACGGTCAAGCCTGCTGTATTTGCCACATTAACCATTGATTTTACTGCATCATTTACGTTTTTAAAAGTCATACATAGTATATTGACCTTTTAACGTTGAGTTTTTTTAAGGTACAAGTGAAAAATCTTATTTTGTTTCTCTTAAAGCAGTATCTCTATTTTCAATTATTTTCTAACCCACGATCTACATCATATGCTATAATTTACTTGCAACTGAGTTTATAATATCTTCTTAAATTTCAAGTTTTCAGATGTGATTAAGTCCTGCTACAGAGTCAAATTTAAGCAGGTGTTTAATATGATGATCATGCTGTTGTATATATTTCTGTCAAATAAATCAGTAGTTTTTAATCTCACCCCACTCCATGTTGAGATGGATTACGGAGACTTCCAAGTATAAAACTCTTGACAGGCAGTTTTCTGGGTGGCGTGCTTGATTTTCTAGAGAAACAACTCTTCCAACTTCACAACACTTTGGTTAACTCTTCTTTTTCAGTTAAGACCAGTACAGTCAAAGAAGATAGATGTTAAAGCAATTCTCCACTGGAAATGTATTTTTGATCTTTTCATATGTTAGCTAAAACTAATGTGTACATTTTTTAAATGTACACTTTCTATAATTTGTTATTTATTAATGAAACAAACTGGGATGGCAATAAACATTGCAGTTTAATAGCAGAAATTGTTCTAATTTGTGAGACGGTATTCCAAGTGCTTCCCCAGGTTATAGACAGCCTGAAACTTTCTGTGAGTGGTAGGTAAAAACACTTGCTATATTTGTGCATAAAAGAATATAAGGAGAAACAGCTTAGATATATTTAAGAGATTGAGTGGATTAAGTGTACTTGATGCTATGGTGCGCTTCATTAAACATACCTGCCTCTCCCTGCAATCCCACTCCACACCCCATTTCACTATGGTTAGATAAACACCCCCAAAGGGTGTACCAGCCACAAAAGTAGATGACCTCTTGAAGAGAAATTATGAAGTTAAGAATTTCAAAAGGAGTTGGTTAACCAGCTCTCCTAACAAAAAACACCAAGAAGGAAACCAATACTAAAAAACAAACACAAATTTCCATACTCTTCCCAAGGTGTTATTCAATTGAGTCATGTAAAAAAATCTATATTAGTTTCCATTCAACATCTGCCATCTCCCTTTTTTTCCTTCAAGAGAATGCTTCATTAGTATATGAGAAAGGCCTATGATCAACAGAATTACAGCAAATATCAGATTAGAACATTTGCCCTTGCTCTGACATCTCATGCTGGAAATTCATTTTTAATGAGGGTTTTTCTGGTACAGGGAAGTTGAATTATTATTATTTTTTCTAAAAAAGAATTGTGTGGGTGAAAACATTCTTTAGAAGATCAAAAGACATCTTATTAATTGGGAAAACTAAATAGTTGATGTATTATTCATTCTAGCCAAAAAATGGTAGTTATTTAAGAACTACTGCCGTAGTCGCTGTAGTGGCAGCAGGTTAAAGGCTATATTTAAGAAATTAAGTTAAACTTTTTTTAAAATCTGACCCCTGTGAATGCTTTTGGGGCAAGCAACGTGTGAAAGCATGAGTTGAGAGGAAGGATTGGTACAAGGCAGAAGGAATTCAATCTCTAGGGAAGCATTAACTCCTGTCTTTCCCTATTACCCACCCATGAACAGAGATCTCAGTAAAATAAGCTAGCCCCTCCTCGGAACTGAACTTGCAACAGTTTAAGAAAAAACAGTTTTATGTCTTCTCTTGTGACATCAGTGTTCATCATGAGATTTAAGGTAAATAGGGACTCCAGATAAAAGCCTTTTTGTTTTTCAAATGAATTAACATGATAGATGTTAAATCCATGCAGGGGTCCAGAAACTGGCCAGTCACGTTAGCTGTGGCTCTAGATTTTAAGAAAAATTTAAACCATTAAGGGGTATCAGAAATTACAGGGGAAGCTCTTTAGCAGTAAGGTGAGGCGGTAGCTTCCCTTTCCTTGAGAATTTGATTCGAAGGGCTAGCAGGTGAGTTTTATTAAGTTTGTGGGCGGGGGGAACAGAAGAGAGTGACAAAAAAGGATGCATAAAATTTTATGTTTAGTGTCTATGTAGCCAAAAGTGGCTAAAATCCAGTTATAGGAACAGGATTTACCATTTCCACAGTCACTCTTTTCTTTCGACTTTTTAAATCGATCATATTTTTCAACATTTCAAAATGTTTTAAACATGGGACTTTTCCTTTTTCACCTAGTTAAGCAGTGTAATCACTACAGTTTCTTTATTAGATTATCCGATAAGTGAATGCAGTTTT